ACACACACAGCCCCGTCCAGCAGGCGTATAGGGGTGAATGCAGCCCACGCGGCAGCTTCTGTACGAAGGGGCCTCCCGTCCGGCCAGTTCAGTATTGCCCGGCAGGTGCTCTCCGGCAGAGGAAGGTTGTGTTTTCCGTCACCCAGTCACCGCCGATGCCCGGGTGTCGGCCTGGGACTGTCCGCCTGCAGAAGCGTTGCTCCGCCACGGAAGCCCAGGGCCCCTGGCACCCAAAGCAAGAATCACACACCCAGGCCAAAGTGGCACACTTCAGTCCCTCCGGCAGTGCAGCAGCGTGTCCCGGGGAGTGATTTGGGAGTCACTGACCTGTATCTTATGCCAAACAAGTAACACGATCAAGCCGGAAGGCCCTAGAGCCTTTCCTAAATTAATGTCTTAATGACACTTTAAAATAGCATAGCATTAGCACACTTGGAGTCCTGAAAACAAGTTTACGAGCGTGTGCTCGAGTCTCCTGTGCAGGCATTCCCCTGCCATGATGTCATGGGAGTCCCCCCCTCCCCCCCCCGGCTTTACAATCCTTACCAATGTTCCCTCTAAGCTGTGGAGTCCTGTGAGCAAAAATTCTATTTTCTGAGCTACCGGCATTAAAGTTGTGAGCGAGCGATTTGGCTACGGCATAAATTAGTTTGCTCCGGAGCCCTCCTTCCTGAGCGGAGATAAAAATGTGTGAGCCGGAGGCTAAAGAATGGTGAGCTAGCTCACACTAACTCAGCTTAGAGGGAACACTTACCTTTTATCCCCCCCCCCACTGCCAAAATGGCCACGCCTCCCCTCCCGTCACCCCACCCAGCACAAATCTGGTCACGTGGCATGGCTTCGGCTGCGATTGCAGGCACAGCGGGGGGAGGGGGAGGTAAGCAGGATGATCCCTGCCACTTTTCCAGTCCACAAACTGCAGCCACGCGGCCTGACACCCTGAGCTGAGTCCACACCACCAGGTCAGCTCTTGGATTTCTGTGCTCCAGGGTCTGCCTGCCTTTTTCTTCCGGAAGTGGCTTCTGCCCTCCTCCCATTCTATCCTCCCCGCAGCCCCGTGAGGTTGCCCAGCTCGGCTGGCCCTGAGTCACTCGGTGGCCTTCATGACGGAGTGGGGATGTGAAGCCAAGTCTCCCCAGCCACGGGCACGTGGGCCCTCGTGCCGCAGGCCCCGTCAGAGGGAGACGCGGAGTTTGAATGCCACTGGCTGACGGGAAGCACAACATCTTGAGTTTCCTGCCGGGGCCTTTGGCCATGGTGCGCTAGTCTGGCACGGCTGTCCGGTTGTCGAGAGGGGAGAAGTGCCCAGAGGTCAGGAAATGCCGGGGGGGGGGTTCCAGGGAGGTGGGCAGCCTGGGGAGCAGGTGGGAAACATCTTGAGTTTCCTGCCGGGGCCTTTGGCCACGGTGCGCTAGTCTGGCACGGCTGTCCGGTTGTCGAGAGGGGAGAAGTGCCCAGAGGTCAGGAAATGCCAGGGGGGGGTCCGGGGAGGTGGGCAGCCTGGGGAGCAGGTGGGAGAGGCTGTTCTGGGCCCCGGGGAGACGAGTGGGGGCCTCCTTGGCTGCCAGCGGTTGGGAGCCGAAGTGGAGAGTGGCCGGGGGGAGGTGCCCTGGCCGTG